AAACATCACGGCTGTGCCGGAACTTGGTGATTATTCTAACATCGCCTTAGAAGCGGCAATTCGTGATACGTCGCAGCATCATTCCAGCTAGTCATTTCCAGATTGCAGCAATGTTGACGAGACATTGGTTCATTCTGCAAAATATTCAGCAATCAGCCGTAACACATTCTATATTAATTTGATCCGTTGCGAGATAGTTGCGTTGATATGCAGTTTTGACGACGATCGGAACTGCTGAGCCGATCTAGCCAATAGAACTCAATTCTAAGCACACGCTAACGTCTCTCGCAGGTCTTCAAACGGGCCAACATCACGCCCTTGAATTGACTTTGGTGTGAGTCACTCAAGCGAGCTAATTATTTAGAGCCGGCCCGGGACAACGCGCAATTCAACTTATCTTTCTCAAGAAAAAAAGCATCAATTCTCATTCATCACTTTCGCCTCCATCGAGAATTCGCCGCTCTTGGCCTGACGTTGACTCTATCAAGTCCAACCAACGAAAATGGCCGACAATGAGGGAAACCCCATACGGACGCAGCTGCGTAATCTCAAAGTTCTTCAAGGATGTCTCGAGAAGTGCGACTTCACCACCTTTCCCGCTTCGCCCCAAGAAGCCTTCACCCACTGGCTCCTGGAGGCCGTAGAAGCTGGAGTCAAGGAGCCCCACGCAATGACCCTCTCCACGGTTGACGCGCAAGGGTGTCCGGATGCTCGAGTCCTGATCCTCAAGAACGTGGACCATCGTGGCTGGCATTTTGCGATCAAGGCAGATAGCCCAAAGGGCCATCAACTGTCAAGCAACGGCTACGCTGCTCTGACTTTCTACTGGCCCGATCAAGGTCGCCAGATACGCGTTCGAGGGAAGGCGTACCCGCTTCCTGTGGATGAGAGCCGGCGTGACTTTGCTGATCGTCCTTCATCTTCGAAGGTTTCTGCGCTAGCTTCCAAACAGAGCCAGGTGCTCCGGGATGAAAAACAGCTTCTTCAAGCTTTGGATGCGGCACGCCGAACTGTGGAAGAGGATCCTGATCTTGTTCTTCCGGGATGGACGGTGTACACTGTTGACCCGACGACTGTTGAGTTCTGGCAAGGTGCTCAGAGTCGCCTCCATCAAAGACTGTCTTACAGAATTAGGTCGGACGAAAGGACATGGGAGAAGCAGCTTCTCTGGCCTTGAAACGACCAAAATGTCCTACTAGTTTTCATGGACTTTGCCTGGGTCGCTTATTGAAGCATTGACGGTGTCTTCAGGACTGGATTCGCAGAAATGGAACTCGATATTTGACTGACATGAAAGAAATCTTGGGTTGCACGAGTTCTCACTAAATTCAGAATACATACATGTTCAGTCAAATCTCCTGTGAAACGAAACCCCAGGACACCAATTGCGCATGCATATGTCTGTATAACCGAAGATGAAATGTACGCAAGCGCATGTAGGCAGTAACTTTGATGGTGTTAGATGCAAAATAACTAAACAAGATGCTAAATGTCTCAAGCCAGGTACCCTGAAGAGAGAAATTGGAATAACAGGTAGCCCCTAGTAATCCTTGCTTCCAGGACCTCCCATTCACATGTGCCATTGCCGTTTACGTGGAGGGCGAACTCTTGGCCTTTTCGAGGTCTTTGAGTCTATCGGGTTCGGTTGTCTTGATTCGAGTGCAGGAATTGGCCGTTTTACGTCTGTGTCGCGCCATCTGAGCCTTCCGAGACGCAACTGGTGACCCCATCGCATGTGCGACGAAGCCTTGGGTTTTGCCGTAGCCTGGTATCCGGCAGTTTCTTTGTCGCTTTTCTTCGATGACTTTAAACTTGTTCTGAGTAAAGAAAGCCGTTGTGGACGAGGGACTGATGTGCCTTCTTCTCTGATAATCGTGTCCCGCCTCAGATATCCTTGCTCTGGGAGTGTTTCAAGAGACCTCCGAGGCCGTTGTGTTGGCAAAGTCGTCTGAGCAGGTGGATCATCTCTCGAAGTGACCGCTTCTTGAGGTGTAGACATCATTTGCCTCTTTAAGACTTCTGAAACCCTCATGTCAATGCCAGTATAGACACAGACACTAGTGAACAGCTCCTCTCGCCCCACAAGAGCCAAAGAGTTGTTTGCTTGGTATGAACGGACACTGACGGTGTTCCCAAGTACTTGCGCAATTGTTCGAGCCCAAAGAACTTGATCTCCAGTGCCATTGGTGAGGTCGCCGAGTTGAAGTAGCATCCGTGTAAAGAATTGAACACCAGAACGCTGTTCGTATGAAGCGTCTCCAGTTTCCGGAAGATGGCTCTCCAGAGCGATACCGGATGCGTCTGCGGGCTCAGCGTTTCCTCGAAGGAAGGCTTCAGCACTCAGAGATCCTCTGCTGCCCGGAAATAGTTCATAAATTCCCAGATACGGAGCGCCTTTGAATCCTGCTAAGCAATGAGATACGAAGGCCTGCATCTGAGGCTGGCTAGGAATCTGAATCGGAGGGAACTCTAGACCTTTCAAAATTGACCGAAAGAGTCTCCCAATCCAAGTTGCTCGAAGTTCACTAAGTGAGCTTCTCGAGCCCTGGTTTTGTATGTCCCCCCGATTCAATTGCAAAAGCACCTTGAGAGTACAGATCAGACCTAACAGGTTCTCTCCAGCTTCAGTGCCCAGACATTCTTCGAGGATTATTCTGACAGCAATCGCTCCAGTCCCGCGAAGGTGGGAGACTTTGTGACGTGCTACCCACCCGAGGAAAATGGTGCGGTATTCTGAATGTATCGGAAAGATGTGCCCAATCTTCATAAGAGGCCTGATGGTGTCCATTTTCATACTTGTAAGGCGCTCGTATATGCGGACCTTGAAGTTTGGATCAGCAAACGGTTCGACGAGAGTGAGTGAGTTTCCCATAATCTCTTCCCTCCTCATACCAGCCCAACCTATTCCATCGCAACTGCTCGCGTTGGTAAGTTCGTCGTGGTTGGTCTTAGCCTCCGCCTGTCTCACAGCCAATAGTAAATCGCGTTCTAACGAGTCACTTAAATTTGCTGGCTCAAGCCATGTCGATGCGTCAGAAAGGTGATCCAACTCAAATATTCTAGTCTCTACAGCAGATGGAAGTGAAACGTTTGAAGCTTCGAGGGCATTTTCGATGCTCAGAAACGTTCCTTCTATGGGAAGGATATAAGCGCGAGGAAATGTATCTTCCGCGGCAATGATACTTCCCAGAAGCCGGTTGTCAACTATTACCCACGATCCTGAGCTTCCCGCGGCTATATTTTAAACGATTAGCCACAAATTTGAAAAAAAGAATTAAGTGAAGTAGAACATACGTATCAACTCTTCCAGCTCTATGCTTAGGACTTCAAAGGGGGCATTATCAAGCACCATGGTCGAAAGCCCTGTGGCCACAAAACCAGGAATCAGACCCTGAGGAGTTGCGACAACGCATTTCGTTCTTCCGGTGCTTCGGATATCCGGCAGCGTGACGAATTGACGTTCTGTTATTATTTCGTCCACAAACAAAGAAAGGTTCCGTTCCGATGACAGCATGAGATGATTAGACATGAAATGAGTTCCGTCATTGATTGAAACGAGCGTCCAATCAACAGCTTGGTTGGTCCTTTCATCGAACCCGAAGCATTCTTCTTCGGCCACCTTTTCCAAAAGTTCCTTACTATGTTTTGCTAACGACCAACTTTCTTTGCCGTGCTTGTTTGAAGCTGAAAAGCTCCGGTAGTGCCCAGTCGTCAAATCCGTAAGGCAAGTCGTCAACGAGAATGATACCGCCAACGGTTACAACCCAATTCTCGTCTACGTCATCATGATTTCTCAGCCGAATCCTTGACCCAAGGGTATCACCACTGATGTGTGGAGTTGAAGCCGACGGCTGATAGTCCTGATTAGCATCGTAGCTAAATCGATCGAAGATGGGGGGCCCTCGAAAGCTAAGTTCAGAAAGCGTGGTCGAATACGACGCGAGTTCGGACTTCAAGTAGTGCCGTAGGTTTTCGGTGCCACAGAGAATCAGGAGTCTAGGCTGCCATTCTCTTTCATCGTCTGACACCATTCTGACTTGAACCGAGTATCTGACGTCGTCGGGTTCCCCGCAACTTGGATGTCGCATCAGGTATTCGATATCATTCTGAAGCAACGGTAGGATTTCCCGCAACTTCAGGTGTACGTCCGTTGGGACACGCGGTGCTGCCTGCGTCTCGAGGCGATCGAAATCGTTTCGGAAATGTTCCAAGATGGAGACAAAACTTCGGTAAGCCCGGAGTCTCAAAGCTCGTGGGGAAAGATCCAGCGGGTGTCTCCCTTGATCACTGTTTCTGGGGCCAAATAAGGATATCTCAATGACAATGGATGGTAGGCTAGAAAAGGCTCCAATACTTAACGCTCGAAGGAAAACCGCTGGATTTCATAGTTGCGGGTGTTTGATCATTTATTATTCGGATTCGAGTGAGAGCCTTGCCGCAGCATGCTCCTCCCCAACCAATCCTTCCGAGGATGGGTGTGGAACCTCACACCCTGCAGACAATATTGACTGCTTTTGGCATCCAGCCATGTCAAATCATCAAATCCAGCTGACAGCTGTGGTTTCACAAGCACACCGCTTGATTTACTGGGCCGCTTGAATTGGTCAAATATTCACTGCATCTGCATTGCTCGGCTTATTGCTGCCCGAATAGCCAGTGAAACTTGGCCAAGATGCAGCTCTCATTTCATGCCTTGCATCTGAACATGTCGCACACCCACCTCATCTGAGGGAGGGAGGTGAAGGTTGCAGCAAGAGACAACAAGCGTTTTTTTTATAATTTATTGTGGAGTTCCTGTCATCATCGACTGTGTCTTCTCTATGAACACATCGATAGAAAGCGTGCTACAGCGCTAAAGCTGACCACGGCTTCACCCCAAGGCAACCATCCTGGATCGGCAACACACGAAATTCACCGTAGTATGTATGCTGCTCATATAAACTGGAAATCCGGGTCATCAAGAATGCTGAGTCGTTTAGTTTCTGCATGTAGTCTTTGGGATGGACACCGAGCAGAAGAAAATCATACTTGATTGGCTCGATGGATACCGAACGGCTGAAGAGGAAGTTTGGCACACGCCATACTTCGAATTCATCGAGAGAGATCTTCTTTCGAAAACTAAAACAAGAGAATACCAGGACCTCTTCAAATGCCTTCAACTCACATCTCAAGCTGTCAATTTGCTCCTGAGGAAAGCGCAGCCTACAGATGGCAACCTTGACCTTTCAAGAGCGACAGAAGCGGATATTCTCATCAAGCTGAAGGAAATAACTGAGAATCGAGAGGAACCCTCGGATTTGAAAAGCGCTATACATCGCGCTGTTCGTTTGGCATTCCGTGTAAGCTCCGTCTGCCCAGGGGAAGATCGAACCGCTCAGGTATCCCCAGCCTGGCCAGACGACAAAAGCGTTGGGGAGTATATTCGCAGTACTTTCGACGCAGGCAGGATCGGCACATCTAACGAACTGTTGTCTCTCATAGAGCCTGAGGACTCCGAGATCGCTGCGGTACAAGCACGTCTCACACACCGCCTGACTGCTGTCAACATTAAGAAGCACACTCGCATCGAGATTACCGAGACCAAGTATCTGCCATGGCACCTGAAATTCGACGCAACATCCGATTACACCGTCTTATACGTGTTCAAAGATATGAGATGGCTGTTGGATGCATTGGAGATGAAGTACGTGGGTTCTTAAAAGAACACAGGAAGCCTGTCGCTAATTTCGCATAGAGACTTCCTCGTTCCCCGGGAGATCATCCAAGAGACCATCGCCTCACTCAACTACCTCTACCCTCGCGGCGAAAGGGAAACGTTCAAGTTGCTCGACCAGGAAGGGGTGAACTTGCACAAGTTCAAGCAGCCGTTCCCAGATAGGCCGCGACTCCGAGACTTCAGATACTACCGCGCCCGTCTTGTAGACGTTGCATACGAGTTCCTCAATCCGCCCAGAAGATGGCGAACAATTTGGAAAGACAGACGGAACCCCATGCAATTCTGGACCTTCTGGCTTGGCCTCTTGATTTTCTTCTTCACCCTGGGTTTCGGTGTTGCAGCCACGGTCTTAGCTGTCCTGCAGCTAGACGTAGCACGACACCCACCGAAGAGTGAATGAGGTGTTTATTGGCAGTGCATGGTTACCAACTGTCTTGTTGCCTTTCAACTCGCTGAGAAAGCCGAATAGTATTAAGGAGGTTTCATAGCCCATTCAGTAAGGGGTTTCGTAGTGGGGGAAACGGAGTAAGAGCACTTAGGCGTGTGCTCCATCCAGTACAGAGACCGCCTATTTTCCCTGTATTAGAGCGACCACTTTGCTTGAGCTTACATACTCTATCTTGACGTCGTCGTCATTATAAGTATTGTTGATATTACTTCTTCTATCGTTTTTTCCGCTTCATCATCGTCTTCGACATAAGCAATCACAAACATGCAAGAAACAGATCCGCGTAGACACAGGAGAATTCGGCGGTCTTCTCGTAATAGGATAGTAGTGTGCGAAGAAGCTGAGTGACGTATGCGTAGATCAAAACGTACTAAATCAACAGATAGACATACAGGACTAAGGTAGGCACTATTCGTCAGTCGAGTTGCGTTCAAGTTGGAAGTGTATGAGTTACGGCAGCAAGTGACAGATCAATCACTTATTATCATGAGCATGATCTGAGGATTTTGATCCGCAGTAGGAAATGGTAATCGGCTAGAAACCTTTGCCCATCCGCGACTCATACAAAACCCAAATAGATTACATTCTCAACCCACGTCTCCACCGCAAGTCCTCATCTCGCTCAACTAACCGAAGCAGAATGTCTTCCTTTCAGTGACAACATAATCATCATCAAAGAATCTGAGTCCGAATAAGACGGAAACTCTCGGATACCTTCGACCAAAGTATAATCGCAACGTGGGAGGACAATGTCGCATTTGACCATCATCCGACGGGCTGCTGCGTTCCATATTCCCCACGAGTCAGGCAGCCTTACGGGGCTCAATTCGAGTTCATCGCATGATGTCCGACACCCAGGCAGTCGGTAAACAGGCACATCAACCGCCGGACTTCGCGGGGTGCCGATTCACCGCCAGGACCCTGAAGTACCTAATTATCCCGGCCAGATAGTGGTTAGGTTTCTGCTCGTGTTCATATAAGTTGTGTTCTTGGCCCGCTAGACGAAGGCTTGAGTTGACACCTTCCCTTTCCCTACCCAGCTATTTCGATTTCCACCCTCATTAAAAGATACCCAATATGCGTTTGTCCACCTTCCTGTCCGGCGGTCTGTTCGCCATCTGGTAAGGATCCCCATTTCTCCCCATTGTACTCTTTCTTCACCCGCAATCTTACCATTGGCATTTTCAAAGCGCCCTCGCCGAGACCTCAGGCTACTGCTGCACCAGCAACGATAAGCAACAAGTCGTCCCGCACAACGACCAGACGCAGGATTGCTGTCGGGGGCGTTTCGACGGCGTAAGTTGATACTAACCCTGATTAGTGCATTTCCTATCAAGCGACCCCACGTTGAAATATTCTAACTCTCGGTAGACGGAATGCTGGCTTCCCGACAACGGACTCGACGCGCTCACGAGCTGTTGCAAGGGCAAGGGAAGCGCCATGTGCGCCTTCTAATTATTTGATGCAAAAAGGGATCTTATGTGTATCTAGATATTACCCAAAAATACAGCGGGGATTTATCTGGTGTCTCAATGAAAGCACTTAAACCATCATCATCTGACAAACGCCCCCTTTTTCAAATCAGGCGATGCATAAGCTCTTCCCGTACCTCAAGCTACCTCAAATCAGAAACCAAAACCAAGATTTCAACATGACTCCCCGACGCCCGTTCATTTCTCACGCCCTTTCAAAGCCTCAAACAAGTACGCAGCCGTAGCTTCCAAGATAGAGAGCAAGATTGAATATAATACCTCGCCCAAAACTCATTGGTTAAAAGACATATACCCAGGCCGCTCCAACTCCCCCGCGTCCAAATCTTGCCTACACGCCTCGCAGTACGGCAGAAAGCCCTCGAGGCGGTCGACGCGGCCGACGGGGCAGTACGGGCGTGTGCACATCAGCCCGTCGGCGCCGCGGACGGGCAGTAGCACGCGCTGCGCGCACTTGTGCACGACTGAGTAAGCGCCCATCACGACGCGGCAGAAGTGGCACTTGTTGGTCACTTTGAGGGTGCGGCACATCTTTTCTATCTTTTCGGCTGTGTTTAAATTCAGTGGTTACTTCTCCGGTTAAGTGGGTGCTTGGGGGTGATGGACGAGTTGGCGGAGGAGGTGGTGGTTGGTGATGCTTCGGACTGGAGGTTGTGTCTGAGGTCATTAGTATAGTGAGAAGAGGCATCGGAGGCATTCTTAAATAGGCTTGCTGAGGTGGTCGAGATGGTGAATTGGGAATGGGAACCGTCTTTGTGGGGTTTGACAATGTTAGTGTCTGGGGAGTTGGAGTTTGTCGTGGGACAAACCGATCAAAGGTCGTCTTTGAGAACGATGCAAGATATACATACCCTCTGTTCGCCATGAACAATGACTTGTTTTCTTTCTCTTTCACAAAGTCCCCGTGCTGTATGGCGGGTTCATCCTCGAGGGCTACCCGAGGGACATTGATGTTGACGCTGACAGTGACTTCTCATCTTCCAATTCATCGCGAGTCGACCCGCTGATCGATGGAAACACAAACACCATAGTAGCACACCATACTGTCTACAGTATTCATGTTTCTATGTCGTTGCTGATGCACGGTTGCCTTTTAGCCTCTCCACCCCTCTATGCATTCCAACCAGCCCATCCCCAAACTCCAAACACCCCGTTTCCTACGACCCTAAAGCCGTCCCGTCCCAGGCGGCATCCGGATCCCCAAACTAGCCATCCCCTTCGCGCCCGTCCCGACCTTCTTCACCTCGTCAACCCGGGCCCTCTGCAGACTGAACCCCGGCGTGACCCATCCGCCGCAGCTGCACCTGAACCCCCTCCAGCTGTACCTCCCCACCGCCGCGCCGCACTTGCCGTTGGGACAACACAGCCGGCCCTCGAGGGCGCCCTTCTCGAGCTCCTCCCGCATCCAGCTCAACGGCTCCACGAACAAGTGCCCGCACTCTCCCTGCGCCTGGCCCTGCGGCTCATGCTCGAGCACGAACCGCGGCGTGGCCAGCGTCCGCCGGCACTTCTTGCACCGCAGCTCCTTTCCCTCCCCCTCCCCGTCCTCCTTGACCTCCTCGTCCTCGAACCGCAGCCTCGACGGCGCCTGTCCTGCCGCGACGCTCTCATCAATTTCTCGCTGGAACGCCCACCGCTGGTAAATCGGGTGCCCCTCCACGTCCACGGGGCACCCCATCGCCCACCACATCTCCAGCTGCGCGATGAACCCAGGGTTCGGCTCCGCGATTTCCCGCGTGTTGCGCACCCACTTCACCGCCGCCTCGACGGCCTCCTTGGCGCGCTGCTTCACGCCCGCGGCGGTCTTCTCGTCCATCTTGGACAAGGACGCCTTCTGCGCCGCCTCGGTCGACGCCTTGGACCGCCCGAAGCGGCCCGGGTGTTTCCAGAGGAGGTACGCCACGACGACCGAGACGGACCGCGACTTGCCCATGGCGCAGTGAACGTACACGGCCGGCGGCTTGCTCTCGTCCGTCTCCAGCTTCAGCTCGTTGAACTCCTTCGCAGGGGCTGGGGCGTCGTCGTTAGCAGGCGTGATGGCGTCTGCATCCTCGGCCAGGTCCTGCTTCACAGTCGCCTTGAGCTTCTTCTTCTTTTCCTCGAAGCTGTCCTCATCTTCGGCCTCCTTCTTGCCCTCGGCGGCCGCCGACCCAGGATGCAGCCCCTCCTCAATGAAGCGCACCGCCGCAGGCAGATGCACCAGCAGATCCGAGTCCTCGACGTCGTCCACGTCAATGACCATGTGCTTGTAGCTCTTGCCGTAGTTCTCCCACGTGTCCGTCTCGCTCTTCAGCCCCGCGGGGTCGAAGCGTACGACGGAGAGGATGTGCGTGATGTTGCGCTCCTTGAGCGCCGACGGGCGGCGGAGGGCCCAGATGCTGGGCGTTGCGCGTTAGGATGGCGGGGTTATGGAGGGGAAAGGCAGGTAAAACTCACCCGCCGACGTAGAGCTCGTCGTTCCCATCCACACGGTTCAGCGCCATCTCAACGCAGCTTTTCCTGATGAGTCGGTGTAGCGCCGCAGCCTGCTCCCGTCCGTCGAGATTCTCAAACGGAAGTTCCCCGTCGCTGGTGCCTCGTGTCTGCCGCGTCGTCTCACTCTCCTCCGCGTTGGCGCCAAGGCCCATGAACACACACGCACTTTTTCTCGTCCAAGGCGGGGCTACGTCCGTCTCTGTCCCTCCTGCTGACCGGAAGGCACCTTCCGAAGTGTGATGAGCCGCTTGGAAAAAGCAAGGAATTGGGCGGTGCAAATCGTAAAAGCAATTCCGTGTTGCTCGGTGTAAAAGGTGCTGCGATATGAGAATGACGCAGTTGACGCAGCGCTTGGGAGAAGGTGAGTAAGGTTTGCGCCGAAAAGAGTCAACGTCTCCACTTTTCGTGTATCCGTAGTGTAGGTACTGCAGTCAGCGATGGCCGCAGGTGCGTGCTGCTGTGCTTGTTCCTGCTCTTCTCCTTCACCATCACCAATTCGCTTGCGGCAGGCACCCGCGGTAAAGGTTCGGATGACCTCGTGGCACCAGGCACCCTCCCCTCACTTCGTGACTTACCTATACGGGGCAGGTAGGTGCTACCACAGCAGCCCGAGTTGCCCCTCACCAAGACATTTTCTTACAGCAACCCGACCCCACCAAAACGTGACCCTTCCAAAAGAAGAAGCCGATCGTTTTTCTCTCCCTCCTGCTTTCTCGCTGCACCGCCCCCTTCCCGCTTCGCCAAACTAGTGATCGCCACATCTGCGAGTGGCTTGTAGGGCTGAAGTCATGTGACGTTCGGCGGCCTCTCTCGTCCATCACGATGGCCATGATGGTGTTGAGATCCATACGGATAACCAGGCCAGGGAACATGTCCCGACGCTGACAAGATGGCCGCTTTGCCGAGGAAAGCGCCACTACATCACTGCGAAGGATGAATTTTAGCGAAATACTCATCCGCAGGATTGCCCTCGGCCCTTGTCGTCGG